AACTGTTTCATTCTGGAGATTTCTTCCTCGTCCGACGGCACTAGAACTGTATATAAAGAAACTATATCCACATACAAAAAAAGAAACTCCGATAGGGGGAATCGAACCCCCGGCTGCCGTGTGAGAGACGGCGATGTTAGCCACTACACCATATCGGATATTGGATAACGTTTGCTTCAGATTTAGCCTACACCACTTTAGTTTCGTGTACTTTTGTCATTATGCCTCCTGTGTAGTTATATATATTCCCTGCTCCCCCCTCCACTAAACAACCTAGGTATTTTTTTTTTTTTTCGCCCTTGTCCCCTGATTATCCATTGGCCTTGCAGGTGAGGTATTTTTGCTATTGATCCGGATCACCGAGCTCTGCCACTCTGCTACCCCCATTTCTCTAGCCCAGATTCCGTACCCTCGTTGGCTGGTCGGCGTGACATGAATCCCCCGCGTCCTCTGGATAGACTTCCTCCATTAGCCCCGACAGCAGCACTTAAGATGGGAAGATGAGCTGCGCCTTGTGACACTAATCTGATTAACTATGATGATATGATAGTTGATAGTAAGATTGATAGATGATGAATCTTGTTGATTGATTTCTGAGGAAAAAGCTATCTATTTAACTTGGAGGTATGACAAAGGTGAATAAAGAGTAGAATCAGCAGTAAACGCTACTCTGTTTGCTCATCATGATCTGTTAATTTGTTGCCTGATATGTCAACCGGTCAGCTGCGACTTCACCGCTGCATGTGCGCATACCTTTCGTTCTACGGCCTTGGAAGACTTCTCCCGGACATACAGAGACTGGAGATGCACTCGTCCTAGACATGCCCGCACCCAGCGAGTCTCAAACAGCCTCACAATCATCTATTGCTCTGAGTATATCCAACAGCCCCGACAATATCCTATCGTGCATCATGGGTCCATCCTTTCTGGTAACAAAGTCATCAAATCAGCACGTTATCGCGACGAAATTAGCCAAAATATAAAGCCATTGTTATTGAAATGGAGGTAGCAGCTATGATGAATGCCCTGTCTGTGGCTGTAATTCGAGGAATTAGCGATTTTGGCGATTCCCAAAAGAATAACACATGGCAACTCTACGCGTCCGCAACAGCAGCAGCTTACACTAAGAGCTACTCAAAACTATTCGTCCTCTCCAACCTGTTAGTGGTAAATGAATTTGGATTGTGTGAGGAATACCCATTTATGGACTTTAGGACATCCACGAAGGAGGCCTGATACGACTGAATTGAGCCATAGCTGTCTTTTGGACATCCTAGAGGATCGATTCAGACGATTGAACATCAATAATTATTGGAGAAATTCCATTGTGGATTTTGCCTACCTATTGGTGCTTCCTGCCGTTTCGTCTTAGGCTCTGTGCCATGGTTCGACTGGCAAGCCAAGGTCAATCGACCTGGTAATGACAACTAGTTGCAGACGATGGGCAGGAGATGGGCAGACGAGTAACCCCCTAAAAATAAGAACAGCGACTTTGCGTTGTGGCTGTTGGATCAAGTGGATGAGTGTGCAAGTCATTCTTGCGGTGGTCGTATGTTCTAGACTTTCATATAGATTAAATTATATCCTTGTTTTGCAATGTTCATACTGTAGTTAGTCAGGCGTAAACTTTTTTCTCTACATCCTAAAATCGTGTTTTTAAGCGGAGAGAGAGAGTTAGAAGTATTAGGATTCTAAGTATAAAATCCCATGTTATACTTAAAGTCGGAGTGAGATGTCCCACCGATGTACAATTGGTTATCACCAATGAGGGACATACTTCGACCAGCTTACTATCTGGAAAGCATCCTCTGGTAATCTTAGCCCAACAAGATCCTCCACCAAGATATATGCCCGAGATAAACAATATGCAACACAAAAAAGGATATTTGGGAGAATTATTCTCAAAGGAAGGGTCAAGTCTGGATCTCGACCGGGGTGAATATTTCTCAATTTCCATGCAAGTCGAGGGAGTTGCTGTTTGGGTGGGTATTCAAAGAGGCCAGTCTTTTCCAACCACTTAGGAGGAATGACCGTATCAGAATACCAGATACTAAATCCGCCGGCAGCACCAAAGACGACCTGATAGACTGCTGCAATGCGCCAGAGAAGCCCTTCCGTGGGAGTAGGAAATTCGAAATTCCAAGAAAATACGAATATACAAGAAAAAAGTGCCCAGAATGGAGCTGCAATGCCCCCCCCTTGGCCCCATTAGGACGCAGGAAGGTATCGGAAGGGAAATGATCGTAAGGCTTAGTGCTCGGTCGGGCGAAGATTGGAATGTGCAGATAGTGCAGGATCTGAACATAATAACGCCACACGCGACTAGTGGCCCATTCATCGCGCGAAAGAAAACTGAGTGGTGTCTGGTACCATCTTTCTTCAGGGTATGGATGATATCTTGAGCGAATAGCAGTAATAGGGGTGTTTGTAGTTAGGATAATGGCTCGTGAAATGTCCTTGGGTTTATCCTTCCAGAAGAACGATGTGCTGAAGAAAATTAGAATGAAAGATAGAGTAGTAAGCTCGAGAGTGGTCAAAAAAAGATGTTGGGCTAGACGAATAATACAGTTGATTAAAAACCAAGCTGCTTGCAATACTGCGATCACTCTAAAATGAGATTAGAAATGAACTTGCTATCATATCGTAAGCTACACATGAGCAGGAGTTTGGAAAGTTAGAGAGAGAGTCAAGTGGCCTCAGAACTTTTCACTATCTAGGAAATCACAAATAAGGGAGAATAAGATTACTCACATTGCCATGCCTTCAGATTTACTTTTATCTTGGATGTCCTCGACAGCTAACTCTGAATAAACTATGAACCCATCTTTGATCAACCAGAATAGCTGCTCGGCGTCAATTGGAAACATTTCGCTTCCAGGACATTCAAGGAGAAATCCACCCATGTCAGCGAAGAATGCATGAGTTATAGTCCAGTTCTCGTATCCTGCCTCGCGGAATCTCTACCTAGACTGTTAAGAAGCCAACTTATATCCGGGAGAATGTTATACATACCTTGACTGAAGCCCGAGCGGATGACCACTGCCCAAGAGCAATGGGTAGCAAAAATTCTGGTCCAAGAAGACCGACCAAAAAGAGATTTATCTTTCTCATCTCTTTCTTTAATCTACCTGCCGATCTTGGAGGAATGTTAGGATAAACAGAAGACCAACAACAGAGGGTGATGATCAGGACGCAAGTTGAGAGGATAGCCCATGTTCCTCTTTGGCCGGGCTCGTCGACCCAGCGAGCATGGTCTGCTGTGCTGTTGGATATCATTAAGTAGTATGTGAAAGCTCAAAATTTCAGCTAGCAGGTAACAGGGAGAGGTAATGCATAATTAAGATACTCTCAAGCCGGCAACCTTCAAATCCGCACACTGAGGCTCAGATGCCCACTGGGACAGGTTGGGCATTCGGCCTCGGCCTATCAGGGGTTATGGCTTAGCGCCTACTTATGTTTGACTTGCAGCTACACATATTGCGTTTTCTATTTTTGGAAGATAGTTTGTACTTTAGTGTCCTGGGTTTTTTATTGCTGAGCATTTTTGTGTGCACAAAGGACTGGCCAAATGCTCAACTTTGAATTCGGAATAGGCATGTCGGGCGAAGCCAGACAAAGTTGCAACAGAGACAGAGTGAATGTATTGGTGGCTGCACTCAGCTGAAGTGAAGGATAATACTATATCATTGGCTAGTATACCAGCACTTGGACCACTAGTCTACCTGGCGTATGCACATAGCCACCTTATGTGCAAATCAAACGATGGCGAGTGTGTCCTGTACCCTTTGGACGATCTCACATGAACGAATAATTCTGCCAAAATTTTGTTGCTGCTCTAAGGCTGTGTCCATTCATATAAAATTAAGCTACTAAATGATAAGGTTAAAGCCGTACAGTGCGTGTTTAGTTGATTCTAATTCTTGATTTCAGACTTTCGCAAATAGAGAAGAATTTATTTTCAGCCTCATTGTTGCTGAAATGAAGGGGGGTGAGCTGGCTTATGCATGCAAGACACAGGGTTACTTTGCAACGTGTTCTGGGCTGTACGGCCGCCCCGCACGTGAGGTGAATGATCTTTCACATGTATAGCCAATTGAATGTCTTCTGTGAGATATGCGTCTTATCAGGGCGGCCTAGGCCTTGCTGAATCGAGCGAGCCCTCTCACAGCAAACGCCTTTTCAGCTAATCTGCCAACGCAACAATATCCCTGTTAACGTGCGACATCATCAACACAGGCTGTAGCCACAGCGACGTGGCGAACACTGAATTCACCTCCTGGCCGTTCAATAGTATCCGCACTCCTACAATAATAACCCTTTTCTTTACATATAAACTACATTTATGGCACACAGAATTACATGATAGGAAAACTAAGTAGTTCTATGCCTCCAAACCCATAACAAGCAATATAATATGCTAAATTCATTCATCTTGATATCCACAGAGACCGATAAAGCAGCAGAGTATTCATAAGTACAAAGTAGATTAAAATTGACATCTCCATGCTCAGCCTCCATTGGACTTGATTAGAACATTAACACTTGATTCCCATCTTCCCGTGCGAAACTGTAGCCAAAGCTTATTATTTAACGCCTGATGATAAGTATTTGAATTAGAATTGGCGACCAGAGCCTTTCACATAAATTATTGTAAGACTGAGCAGAGCAATGTTCATCAGGGACGAACGGGGTAATCAATCGTCTAAATTACTACAGTACTCGATGAGCATTGTAAACAACACATCATGCATGCCAAGTTGAAACAAAGCGTGGCGGCTGTATATCACATTTCACAAGATTGCTATGGGGGCCTGGTTGCTTACATCGCAGTCACAATTCTAATTAGCCGCTTAGCTTCTTGCCTTATAAGTACTATCAAGCCGATAGTGATTTCATTCCTAATAACCCACAATACTTTAAATCTTTTTTTGGAAATCTCGTTTCGACTACGATTCTCATTCCATTGCGACCGTCGTGCTATAGGCATCTCTGAAGACAAAATGGCAGACAGTTCGACGGGCCAACTCCCGTCATTCAAATCTCCGGCTGACGTAAAGACCTACTATCTTGATACACTTCAAAGAAAGCCATCGAGAAAGGGAAAGTCTCGGGCATTTCAAAAATGGAAAGAAAATGTTCTCCAGCAAATAGAAGACTTTTTGAAGGATGATTTCGATATCAACTTTTGTGACCGCGAAATATCAACATCACCTTTATGGCAAGCGACAATGGGACTTGAAACTTTCCAAAAGGTTTTGGAAAACACGACAACACTAGTGAACCTCTCCGGGGAGGACGGCAGGACTGCTGTGTTCCTGGCAGTTGAAGAGGATAACCGCGACGTGTTGGAGCGCCTAAGCAAAGCTGGTGCCGAAATTGACTGCATGGATAAGAAAAACCGTACTCCTCTATCGTACGCAGCTGAGCAGGGGTTCCGTGAGACTGTCAAATTTCTTGTCGAGGATAAAAAGGCTGATGTCGATTCAAAAGACTGCGAGCAACTTACTCCACTACAATGGGCGATCGGTAGTGGACGTACCGATGTTATACGATACTTATTGAGGAAGGGGGCCGATGTAAATCACAGGGATGGTCTTGGCAGAACACCATTGCTTATGGCAGTGGGACCAAACTCCAGTCTTTCAAAGTCTCAAAAGGACGAAACCATCAATCTCCTTATGAAACACAAGGCAGATCCTAATTCCGCGGACAATGAAGAAAGCACCGCTCTTGTACTTGCAGTTCGTCACTCAAGTATCACAACTATTCGGCAACTGTTGGCCTCGGAACACTTTACAATTGATGTGAACCAGTACGCAAAAGGTCGAACGGCACTGTCCATAGCAACGGAGCTAGAGCTTGTGGGTATCATGGAACAGCTTATACCAAAGGCAAATGTCAACCTCAGGGATGACAACGAGCTGAAGAGAACACCGATAATTTGGGCCGTTGAGAAAGAAAAAGGCCTTGCGGTGATAAAGCTGCTCCAAATGGGTGGGATCAAAGTGAATAGCTCTAATCCGCAAGGGCGAACTCCCTTTTCGCTGGCCGCAGAAAAGGGGTGGGTTGACATCATGCAGATGCTTTTAAAGAGCAAGGCCGATCCTCATAAAGAGGATAAGAGCGGCCATACAGGCTTTTGGTGGTTCCTAAGAGCTAGATCTGGTCCTCCGGTAATTCACGCTACCCTTGGTCACAAACTCCCAAAGATGTATCGCAGTAGTCTTCCAAAATTGATGGAAGTGCTCGAGCATCTAGAGCCAAATCGGCAAGACTCTGCTGGTCGAACTTGGTTATCTTGGGCTGCTGAGTATGGCGATCAGAAGATTGTCCAATTACTCTTGGCCTATAAGAACACTGATCCAAACTTTCGCGATGGAGTGAAACAAAACGAGAAAGGATTTGCTAGGACTCCAGTGATTTGGGCAGTTGAAAAGCAACACGAAGGTCTAGTGCAATGGATGATTGCAGATAACAAAAATGACCTCTCGCTAAATTATCTGATTCGTGAATTTCGCACTTTAAGAGAGGAACTTGGAACGGACAAGGCATTGCACATCGTCAAAACATTTATCTCTTACGGTGAAGTGGAAGGTCTCGGCTTTATAGGGAGAGAGGACCTAGAGGGGCATACACCTTTGCACCTCGCCTGTTTTCAGGAGAACGAAGAGATCGTGGATGCCTTGTTGGAACACGCATATCCCAATCCCAGGGACTTCACAGGCCGGTCATGCCTACAATACGCTTTGGATCGCGGAAACGAGAGAATTATCAGACGACTTCTTCGATCCATGCCTATCCTGGAATATGTGCAATCAAGTGACTGGTTTTGCATTAAGAAGCAGAACACTTGTTGGGTTCAAGTATACAAACTCAATGACTCAGGAATTGGCTTTGACTGGAAATTGACTGGCAACCTTCGACGCGACCAATTGTTATCAAAAGGATCTCAGAGAATATAGTAGGTAATTCATCCGCAACTTGCCTCTATATCCTGACTTTTCCTCCAGTTTCTGTGAGCAGAGCCTGTGGACTCATGTACCAGCGCTGTTCGATGCCGAGAGTGATATGAAATCCGAAAAAGAGGAATCAAACGATATTCAGTACATCCGAAAAGACTTTTCAGGCTCTATTGTGTCCTGTATATCAATACATTTTCCTCTCCAAGACCGTTTCCTTTCTGGGAAACATGAGATGCGTCAGAGCCCGTGGGGTATTGCATGGATTAGAAGGCCGGAGGCAGAAGACACGGACACTTTCCTAAGCAGTATTTCAGAGGGCAGTTTTCCTACATCGGATAGCCACTTCTTTCGGCTGTTTCTTAGAGATCTCAAGAATCAATGGGCCATTGCTTGCTCAATTGCCAGTGTGAGAATTGAGGAAATAGTGAGTTATCACCATCTAGAAGGCACTACGGAAATTTCTGACTGTTTTGGGATAAACTAGCAAAAGGAACAATTGGAGCAAAGGGGCCGAAAGTCTACATTGATTGATCAACTCGCTGAAAATGCATCGATTCGAATTAATGTCCGGAATTGCTTGAGGTCACATATCAATAGATTAAGTCACCAAGTCAAGACTGATCGATTTTTCACAAAAGATACCCGAACAGAGCTCACTGCTCTTGTTAATGAAATTGGGAATGATGCAACTGGAAGACTAGATGACATGGAACGTGCATCTCGTGAATTGTTGCAAATGGTACGTATGCTCATGAACCACGGTATTTTCAATTTTTGACATTTAGGTTATAGGAACTTGCTTGGGTTTCGAAAAGCGAGGCAGCGAGTATCAAGCGTCTTACTTGGGTTACCGTAAGTGCAGACACAACCCCCCAAATCTGATAGTAGTGATTTGTGGCCTGACGATCTTTCTATCTAGTTCATTTTCCTCCCTCTGATGTTTACCTCTGTGAGAAGTCCTTAAACTAGAGATTATGGATTCAAGTGGGCGTGGGGTCCCGACTAACAAACGGATATAGAGCCTATTTGGAATGAATGTAAATGCACTCCAAAGCAATCCTGATTGGAAATGGTATCTCCTTTTCGGGGCTGTATCTATTCTCCTAACAGGGGGCATATGGCTCATTTTCAGAATTATCACAGTAGGTTCAGCCAGCTGTCAAATAACGTCTATTATTGTGAGCTAACTCTAGCTTATCAGGAATGGAGTGGCAGATGCTGGGATGAGGTTTGGGGAAGATTAATGCAGAGAAAGAGAGACCCATTATTTGCAAATTGCCTAGCTTAACAAAAATTCGATAGCAAGAATATGAGCTCTCTAGTATAACCCCTGAATACTTACAAAGATACAGCAAGGAAAGTGGGAAAGTGATCTGCAGGTGGTTCCTGTATATAGAAAGTAAACTATATCTGTATGAATAACGGGACAGGAAAGGTGTAATTCCGGCTGACATAAAAATATAGTAGAGTTCTATAACTAACTATATTTATAAACTAGAATATAGGTAAAAATCACTTATTTATTTAGATAATTCAGCTCCCTTACAAACGCCAAGACTACGATTTTATACAATATCGCCCCAACCTACGAGCTGGGGTCCGGGTCGAGCTTGAGGAGTTAGACCCCTAGCTCGTTGAAGGTCGGGTTTCGAGCCCGGACCTTGGGACCAAAGTTAGGCTTTGCGGAAGACTACCTATGATAAAGCCGTCGGGCTTTATAATAGACATACAGTAAGATCGGGAAAATCATACACTAAACCTAGTCGGACATATGCCACTACATAGTCCTAATAGATCTATAAAACTGTCTATACGGAATCACCACTACGAAGACTTACAGGACTCAGGGTTCAAACCCCCTTTTGTAGGTGGTTTAGTGCCTAAACGCCTGACTTTAGAACGGCAGAAAAATTAAGATTCCTGAATTA